CCCCGAGACGAACGCCACTTCCAAGTCTCCCCACTCTGGCAGTCTCTGAGACCTCCCTAACCCCTATCCCACCAGAATCCCAGAGCACTGTACTCACCGAGCTGTCTCCCTTCTTGGGAGCTGAGGGCTTCCTGGGGAACAGGATGAGCTTGGAGCGGTACTCCTTCAGCCGCTGCACGTTGGCCTGCAGGGACTCGGTGGACTTGTTCCGCCTCCTCGGATCCACCGAGATCCCAATGGTCCGGGCCACTTTTTTGTGGATGCCGGCCACCTGCCCGCGGAGACAGACACAAATGAAATCCCAAGGAGCCTCTAATCTCCACACCCTAATGAAAGGGCTCAGTCGTCAGATGGAAAAGGGTTCAAATGTACTTTCATCAAGGCAGTACAGCGATTCCGGAGAATGTCATCATTTGACTGTGAGCCCAGAAGGCAAAACTTAGCGTCTCTGATAATGCGGTTTTATGGATACTCACCCGTAACTCCTCCAGGCTGAAGCCCCTGCCGGCTCGCACTTTGGTGTGGTACCTCACCGTGGGGCATCTCACTATAGGTCGGATGGGTCCGGAAGCGGGGCGAGGGGCGATACGGCGCGCTTTGGCTTGCCGGGCCTTGCGTCTGAGCAGACAGAAGCCAGGTAGCAGTTACCGCGCCGGAAAGCAGATCTCATTCGGGCGTGTCGTCTACTATCCCGCACCAAGGCGGGGACGCGGAGCGCGCAGACAACGCCGCTCGCCTGCGACCCCAAGCCTAAAGTCGCCACCCGTTCGCTCCCAACCACACCATTACAACGTCGGCTCTAACGTGGAGCTGCAAGAGCCGCAAGGTTACCACATGGTTAAAGGGCTCAAGTGCACTTGCATCCCAGGGTACAGCGATACCGGCCCCTGTCGTCACCTGGCTGTGTGCTCCACGCGCCCCGCTCACCTGCGGATTTTCCGCGCCGGCTGGTTAAACCACGTGGCAACGCGCCGCTGCCAGTCCTTGTGGAAGTGGGGCTTTAGGATCATGCCATTTCGGCTGGGCGCCATGGCTGCTGCCTACGGGCCTAGGGAGAAAAGCCAGTCAGGATCCGAGTTCTCCGTCCGGACGGCACACCCACAGAGCCGGGCTACGGCCCGACGCCATCTGTGGCGCGGCCCGACACCGATGGCAGCGGATGGAGCCCGATGGCGCCCGATAGCCTCCACCGCCAGCTGCCTTACGCCGCATACCCACCTTCTCCTAAGGAGAACGGCCACCGGAAAGAAAGTGGCGCCGCAAAGTACTGTGGGATGGCAGTGGGCCCGGCCAATCAGAAGCTGTGGGGCATCCTGACCAATCAGAGCCGGGAATTACGGAAGTGATGTAAGCGCACTCCCAGCCGCCCTCGCTGCCTCTGGTCCCGCCAAGCTCGTGACGCGGGCTGGGCGAACTCCCCGCCGCGCGGGGCCATTGCAGCTTCCACCCCTGCAGGTCTCCGTTTTCCCGACACCTAAAGCCGCGTCCTTCGTGTCCCAGTTTTTGTTCCTTCTCGTCCACTTGGTACATTTGTGCTGCTTTCTTTAGGCACGGAACAGTTGCTGTAGGCGGGCAGCCAGTACTTCACGTGCATTTCCACATGGAATCGTACGTACAGCCGTCTCAGCTCGGCGGAGGGATCGGGTAACTCCTCTGAGGGAGGGCAGCCTGTGGTATGTAGTGGCCCTAAGATCCACTTGGCCGACTGCAGACGTCACACTTGGCGCCGTGTATAGAGACGAACATCTTCGAAAACATTAGGCAGCCAGGCATGCATCTGTAACCCGTGCCCTGCGCGTCTCGTGTTCTCCAGGACGAGTCTGAGGACTCACCAGTACCCCACCGCTCTCTCTACGCCTTTACATCCCAGTAACCCTCTTTCATTCCCACCCTCACTCCAATCACCAGTCTTCCTCCTAGCAAAACCTAACATTTTAAGAGTTTCATGACAGAAAATGAGAAATTTGGAGGCCTGTGCCCTGCACTGAGTAAACAGGTTGCTGATGTCCTATTGGGACAGCCTTGGGTGTCAGAAAAATCAGGTTGGGATTCACTGAGGAATTACAAAGTTTAATCAGGGGGACAGAACACGTGTAACAGATGAGGCACACACAGTCTGTCCAGACAAATACACTGAGCCTACATGGGAAGTTCAAACCTTGACTGTGCCACTTAATAGACAAGTTTAATTATGAAGCAGGCAATAGCAGCCATACTTTCTTTAAAATTTCTCAGACCCCTTTCAATGATCTCACCATGGACCAAGATACCTCAAATACTCTTGTCTCCATTCCCAATTTTTCAGATCCAGAGATTCATGCAACTCCTGCCCTAACCCTCACCTCCACCTGAGCTCCAGCTACTCCCCGTTAAGAAGCTCTCCTGGGTCACTGGGTGGGGGTTAGAGGCCTGAAATTGGAAACACTGTTCAGAATATAGTTAGTGGTATAATAAGGTGAAGTTATCATTTGAGGACCTTACTCTGCTTCACATAACCAAGTTAGACACAGAATCCAGTTTTTCATGCTTGAATACTCCATACTTATTTCCTTTGAAAAGTTTGCAAAATAGCAAGCCAAAAAAAGTTCTGATAGGAAAATTCTGCTGAAAACATGCTCAGCTTTCCCACTGGGAAAAGTTAAAGAAGTGAACTGTCATGAAGGAGTCCTTCTGATACAAAGACTTGGCTGGCCCAAATGTTTTAAAAGTCTTTAGGTGTAGTGACAGCCTTTGTCCCTTGGCACAGCCACAGCCTGTGAACAAAAAAGGGCTTTTGTCCCAGAGTTAGGCCTGAAAGGGCTAATGCCCCTGGAAGTAGTGCTCAGCTAAGGGGGCGAAGGATTCCTGGATATGTACCCTTGGAGGTGTGGGAGTATATTCTGCACACCCAGAATTTTCTTGCAAGACTGAGCCCCAATTACTCATGGCAGTGCCTGCTAATTGTACACCTGCACCTGACTGACCTCCTCTATCCAGTGCTTTGAGGGTCAGCATCAAAGAAATCTAAGACAGTCAACAATAGCTTCTGGAACCCTTTCAGACACACAGTCTTGATTTGTTTTTAAAATTATCATAACAGCAAAGTGATCTGACAGTGTTTTTGGAGAAAAGAGTCATCCCTATAGCACTTTGCAAAACTTAGCATGTTAATTTTGTCATATAAATTTGGGCTGATGGTTAACTGAGGCAAAGAGTAGCTTAATAACACGAACAGGATGATGTTACCCTGCTTCATCACAGAACTCAACACCATCCAGTCTATCAACCTTCCAAAATCATGGCCTACACATAAATCAGATGGAGGCTAACTCAAAGGTTCCTGTAATATGAGAAACTAATGTCAGTAAAAGACAAATAGAAGTACATTATCATAATCATAAATGTTTTAAAAGTTGTTAAGAGAGTGAATCTTAAAAGTTCTCATCACAAGGAGAAAAGACCCTGTAACTATGTGTGATGTCGAATGTTAGCCAGACTTACTGTGCCTATCATTTTGCAATATACACAAATATCGAATCATTGTCATATACATTAATGTATGTCAATTATACCGCAATAAATTTTTTATAAAGCAAAACACATTTATTTATGAGTATAGATCAGAGTGAAGAACAATTTGTATTAACTTAAGAACAAGTTAACTTTTTATTTAATGATCTCTTGAGACTCTGATTGTGTTCAATATACATGTTTGTTTAAGGAACATGTGTTTATCTCAGTGAGGAAGTCTCAGGTACCTTAGACAAAGACAGTTCCAGAAGTTATAATCACCATGATATACTAGCTCTGACGGGCAGAGGGTCAGGGTTTCCTTCCCAGCATTAAGCACACAGGTTGCCCAATTTGGTTTGGCTGCTCTAGGGACCATGTACTGTTGTTGAAGCCTCTTCACCTCTAGGATCCTCTTTAAAGGTGGTGTGAGCCCTGGCCAGTGTACTCAGTGGTTAGAGCGTCGGCCTGCACACCAAAGGGTCATGGGTTTGATTCCTGGTCAAGGGCATGAACCTGGGTTGCAGGTTCAAACCCTGGCCCCGGTCGGGGCATGTGCGGGAGACAACCAATTGATGTGTCTTTCTCACATTGATGTTCC